GTAATTTGCTGCAGCAGCCACACTCTGCTGAATGGTAATCTTGCTGTAACGGGTGTGGTATTTCGTTTTGATCTTTCTATTTTGCGCTGCCAATTTTGCAAATGCCGTCGTTCTTTATCTTGTTCACGGCCATGGATCTGAATTAATCATGAATTAATCTGTTGCAATCACAATTTGTGTTTTCGATTAATGTGAACTGTGCGCTCTTAAGTTTTATTTTTACAATTTATTCTCTGATTTTACCCGCGCGCTGAGTCAATGCACTGGTCTTTTGTGCATCTGCATTTGTACCATATTTACCAGTGCTGAATCTTCTGTTATACCTGGATAGATCTGATCGGATGATTAAGTCGAATTAAAAGGATATAGCGCGAAGCGCTGATTGGTTGTTTTGCTTACCTGTATGGAATCTGCCGCACTTTAAAACTTCGCTCTAGCAGACGCGTATAAAATCACTTGCGAGTGGCGTGCAGAAATCGGCATTGTGGATTTTTCGTTTCGGCATCAGCGGTGTATTAGATTCTTCGCTTTTCTGAATGTGATTTTCACGCTTTTTCTCTTTACACTTTAAGCGTTAAGGTCACTAGTTTTCTTTAATTTGGGCATGCCGCCTATCGATCCTAACCGTGCTTTCGATAAATTGGTAGACGCTATTTTTCATTCGTCTTCCAACTAGCAGCAACAGTATAATGCCGGTTATAATCACAGAGGAAAGGGTGGAGCCCGTGGTGCTTTCCGTGGCAACTTTCGTCCGTACGGCCGAGGAAATCATAGGAATTTTGGAGACAATAATCTCCGTCGCGGAAACGATCACTGGCGTCGTAATGGGCGACATCTGGGCGCACCGGAGATTATTGAAGTACCTGATGGAGCTCCTCACCCAGCTGCACCAGTAGAAGCTGCCCCCGCAAACATGGAGGTTGATGACCCGGGAAACCAAGCGGCGATTGCACCGAATCAGGGCCAAGTCGGCGGAGCTGTGGTTCCAGGTCAGCCCGATGCTGTCAACCCTCCTGTCAGTCTACATGGCCCGCCAGCCTTGAATGCTGTTGTCGTTCCTCCGGCTGTAATTCTGCCTGTGCAAGCCCAGCAAAACGCTGAATTTCCGGGTTTGCCACCAAATGTGTTGCCACTTCCTGAAGTGCCGATTGTCCGCGATGCCCGCGACCGTTCTCCAGCTGATCGCCCTCGTGCGCCGTCTGCTCCTTCCGGTCCTGTTGGTTCTGCTGAACATAATTTTGTGCCTGGTTATTTGGCTCAGCAACAGCAGCGGGAATTGGATGCCGATCGCCGACGACAGATGGCTGCTGACGTTTCTCGCCGTTTGGATGCCGCTGCAGCGTCTTAGTCTGGTATCACCGGTTTGTTTTCATTGTCTCCCAGTGCTGGCAAGTAACCTTGACTCACCTTTGCCGTTTACCTTGTCTGTCTTCTTTGATCTCATATTGTTACTGGCTTTATTGCACCGAAGCTACTTTCACCTTGATTCTATTGTTGTTTCTTTACTGGTTTAAATTTCCCTTCCCTTGTACCAGTAATTTGTACTCATGATTTTTATGCGGATATTTTTGCTTGTTTGTTGTTGTTGACCGTTGTTACTGGATGGTGTAGTACTCGAGAATTCGTAAGAATACTACTGGTTGGTTGATTTGGTGCTTTTGCTCGTTTAATCCATAGTGCTACAGAATCGCACATAATCACATTTTAAGATTTTAATTTCACAATTAATAAAGCTTTATGTCGTATACTGTACATACACAACACCATCCAAACTCAAACGGCACACTGGTCGTAAATTCATAGTTGCCTTCCTGGATCCTTGGACCTCCGCCCTGCCAAACCCGTGGACTTCCGGATGCCTCTTCGCCAAGGATTCCACACATTCACTCATTCGGAATCGCGGCGTACAGTCACATTGGGCATCGGATGGACGCGTGGATTGTGCGGTGGAACGGGATCGGGATGGATGGAAGTGCACAATCGCACTGGGATGTTGCGGGATGGATTGCTTACATTGGCACGGCTAAGCATTGTTCGTGGGGGTGACGTGTGGGAGTAGGATCACACGCCGGATGTACGTACGGATGCTGACTGTCCGCCTTCCACCTGCAACACAACGGATAATCTAGTCAATCTCTACTGTGATTTGTTGTTCTCTTTTACTAGCGATGTATATGATGTCATAACGCGAAGTCTATATAAGTTTTGGTTGTCACTAATATCGGAATCAGTAGTCTGAGATTGACTTCTGAGACTGCTTCTAATTACAATTTCCTAGCGTTGTGAACTGTGATGTGAATTGGATAAAGAGACAGCAATACTTGTTCCTTCTGATGTACATGATCGTTCCCGGATTATTGCATAGAATACAGGTTTGCTCGTGACACAATCGTCCTAGCTCTTGCCGATCCTCACAGGACTTACGACCGGAAGTTGTGGTTAGCCCGTTCCTGAGGGATTCCTGATCTTTCGTGTTCCTGAATCATCCGTCTTATTTCCACCATAGTTCCTCTGTTACAGTTTGAGAGTACGAGTGCCTACCGACTGACATTTACAGGCGTGGAAGAGTAAAGATTGTTCATGGAGCCTTAAACGGCGTGAACGCTTATACACAACAGTAGCTCCAGGAAAAGGACTGGTCGGCAACTGTAAATTGTTGCTGGCATTTTTTACTGGGCAGAATACTTGCAAGTTGCAAGGAATCATACTCTATAGCGAATAAAGTTATCAGATCCATTATTCCAAGAGGGACTTGACAAAAGAACTACCGTAAATTTTCGACCGAAGCGTAGCGAAGGACTTCTATGTTTAAGGATAATGAAAAACGTGGTGTCTGTGCGTCGGTCACCGCTACCAAATGCACATATGCGCGTTGGTGTTTGCTACCAGATGCACTCATGCACGCTGGCCGTATATACTCAAGCCACATAGAACTCGTGGTGTCTGGGCGTCGGTCACTATTTTTGTAATTGATAATACTAATAGACATTTTTAAAGGTCACTGATTTCTTGATGACCACCTTTTGATGTGGTTCCTCATGTCACACGTACGAGCATAAGCATATGGGCACTGTTTTTGGTGAAGTTGCCGTTGGTACGAGGCTTTTTGCCAGTCACAGGCTATGGATTCCGCAAGCACTACCAGAATGTTTAGTCCATATTGATCAATGATCAAGCTTCACTGCATCACTAAAGTTTTTGCACCAGTTCGGCTGTCAGACATTTGGGCAACATAACAAAATTTAGAAGCCTAGGAACGCTAAGTTCAGATAGACCTTCAGTTATGTGCGCCTCCGGGCAAACATGTCCCCACGGATGTTTTTTCCTGCCCCTTTTCCTTATCACAAATGGCAACTCTTTAGACAGATTGGTGGCATGAAAGAAGTATGCGAGAAAGTTGTTTTCAGGCCAATCGATAGCCTTTTAAAACTTTCTTTCCAGATCCAATATTGAGACAGCAATGACAGCATTCAGCAGCAAACACTACCTACGGTACATTAATTAGTCGACAGGAGCCGAAGAAATTATAATTTTTTCCTGTGATTTCCAAACATTGTTAACAATTTCTACGTAAATGCTGACCGGGACCGAGGTCGAGGGTTCACTTTTCAGTGTCCTAAAACTTCTACGAAACTGGAATGCGAATGTTAAGTAGTCGAAGAGGTTTGAAACGCGAAACGGGGTAAGCAAGTACTGGTGGCGGTGCCAGTTACTCTTTCCTATAGCATAGGTGATCCTGCTATGCTTCGGTCATGCAATGCCCGCAAAAAGCGAGTGCACTTTCCTAGTTCATAAAAGTATCGTAAATATCGAAAACAAAAACTAAAACAAAACCTAACTCTAACAGCCAAAGACGTTGTTAAAAATTGTGCAATCGATTAAAATATCGATAACGTATACTACCCAACAGTTGTTTTTGCAAAATACAGTAGATTTTCTATAATAGAGCAAGGTTACGTTACTCCAGGTGTGAATGTCCGGCCTTTAGATCATACAGAGTTATCGTTTGTGGGCAAAAAACCTGCAGTATGAACACTTACAACAATTTTTAACTCAAAAATACTGTACGCTTGGTGCACATAAACAGCTGGCTAAGAATTCTGAAATGGAAAGTATGTGTAACAGAGGATAGCCATAGGTCAAGTTTTGTCCATTAGTTTACGGATGCCATCAGTTTTGCTGTTATCGGTGTTATGTTTGTGGCAAGGTCATTGTGCGCTCAAGTAATAAGCACTTATCGGACCACGCGCTAGTAAAAATTTCCTGACGAATGGCACTTTTGATTACTTATGAGTTAGGGTATATGCAACAGCCATTCCTTTCACCCGGTTTACTATAGGCGTCACTTTTCAACTAGTTTTTGCAAGCACCTTGTTTTCCCGCGGTCTTTAGGTATACCCCGTTGAGAAACGGTTTTGTTCGAAGCACTGGTAAAACATTTTGATAGTTTATTATTGAAGACAATATTTTGCGCCCTAAAAGATCCGTTTTCCTTGCCTTGGCTTTTTCGTAAACCTTGCATTGGTTTTCAATTTTTTCAAGTTCAACCTATCCGCCTTTGGCGCTTATTTGCGTATCTGCAATGTCTTGACTTGAAAATTCCATCACCAGGCGCCGAACTCATTGCAAAATTTCCACAGGTTAGTTCCTTGCACAGTTTACACTGGCATGTAACTCTGTGCACTCTGTTTATCGATGACTCGTCTTTAAATTATAGCGTGATACTGACTAAGCGCATCTGCCACGAAATTGATTACTTCCGCTATATGATTCCGCAAAGTATTACATAAACACTAGTCAGATGCATGCTAATTCTATACTGGCCACAGTTTATGGAATTATATGAATACAAATTTTCCGGATTTGCCGCTAGACATATTTGCTACAAACGGCGTTTAAATGCATTATTATAGACTTTTCCAGTTGAATAATTATGCCCTAGGGCTGCAAATCAGTGCTTCAATTTTTGAACGTTTTTCACTACAGAGTATGTCCTGCCATCCAGATTGTTATAATTCTCCGAAGAATCCGTCTGGAGAGACTCGGATCGCTTTTTGGGGTGCGGCGGATGCTTGTAACACTGTTTCTTTTTTCTTATTCGAAAGTCACTTCAGTTCGGTGATCTGACGAAGGTTTTAAAAACCTGCAGTAACTGCGATCTGATTGTTTTGGTAGAACTTACTGTCTAAGGAAGCAACCGCGCGATGTTACTGTTAGACGTGGTTGGATTTCTGACCATAGCAACCAGTTTAATACAAGCAACCGGGAGGGTGCAGATATCTACTCCCGTTTGCACGTCGAATCTTTGCAGACAAGTTGGTATGTGGTACAGCTTTCGGTTGAATAATAGTTAAAAAAGCTATATCCGGAAAACTGCAGGGAAAATTTCCATGCATTCCTGTATTTCAAATTAAATACCCAATTGTAAATCGGATCTTGGCAGCTATCAGTCACTACGATGACGTTAAGTCGGCCTTAAGCTATTCGTTTGTGGTTATTTTAGCCAGTCTAATCGAAACCTGCATGGATGACACGGTTGACCCGTGCGTGGATTTCTACACCTACGCATGCAACCGTTGGAATAGGAGTTCCGCTCCTGCGCACGCCGTGCTCGAATTAACGATTTCCAAACAACTTAAAGGTACGTGCGGCACGGTGTACGTAGACACATGTCCAATAACCGACCTTTCAGTACATCGATAACATCCGCAAATTGGCCTAGTTCACTGTACGGATCAGCAGTCTGAGCACCAACACTGTCTGGCGTGTTATGGAAGCAGAGGTCTCAAACCGTACAAACTTTTCGTACGGTTACGTACGGTACTCAGCCTACGCTTCTACGGTACGGTACTGTTACAGTATTAACAATAACCGGATTTGCCGTACCGTATACCGTAAACGGTTTGCCATAATGTTAAAACCACGTTCTCGGATTACGGTTACGTACGGTAGAGCATTTACCGTATTGGCTTTTTGTACGGTTCCTTACGGTCTAACCGTACCGTATACCCTATACAGTGGTGCCGTATACGGTTTGCGACCTCGCTTCGCTACATCGTTAATCCACAAGTCACTACTGATTACTATATTCACGCAAGTTATGACTGAAAGAGGCAACCAATATCTTACCAGGGCCCCGTCACCGGCTATAAATTCAGAAAACTTTTATGTTTTGGAGAAAGATAGAGGAACACTGGAACAAAAAACTATTTTCACCTGCTGTGATCAATGGGCGTGGCCAGAACAAAAATTGAAAGCAAATTCTACACTGTGCTCTAGCCTGTGGGCAATGTACCGCATCGTACGTTTAACGTTACTGAACAACCTGTGCGAGAGAAGTTCAACTTTAAATCCTTTCCTCAAAATTTTTATGTATTTCTTATAGATTTAAACATACATAAATTTCACAATCCAGCCGCTTGTGAAACGGGTTTGCAAATGGTACGCAGCGCGCCCTTCAGCTTCTTTCTGCCGAGATAGTTCGGTGCGCGCGAGTATCTTCGATCTCGTAATGGTTGAAAAAATAGCTAACACAAAAACGTAAGTGTAAACTGCATCATCTCAAGAAAGAACAGAGAAAAGCGAGAAAAGCGTTGAACACAGAGAACACAGAAAAGCGTTGAACGAGTATTTACAGTTAACTGACCTCGTACAGATTGTTCGGTATTAGCGGCATAATACTGCATTCAGCATAGCCGATAGTTCCATAGACTACAGCACAGTGTAAACTTTAGTTTCAAATTTTGTTCTGGCAACGCCCATTGATCACAGCAGCTGAAAATAATTTTTTTTGTTTATTTCAGTGTTACTCTGTCTCTCTGCAAAATTTTTCTGAATTTATAGCCGTTGACGGGGCCCTGGTTAGTGTACTGTTGAATACGTTTTTGAGCTTTTTTAACTTATTAAATTTACACGAAAGAAGCGTTGGAAATCCACCGAGACACTTTTGAAGTGGCCCTGATATTAAAATTAAATTCTTTAAATTTAGTGTAATACTTGCGGCTTCTATGAGAGATTTATTCATTAGGTAATACTTGGGCAACCAGACATTTTAGCGCCTAGAATACAATGGCGCAAACAATGAACCCAGTCGTATGGGCAAGCGAGAAAGCAAATACAGCAGTGAGTACAGTAGTGTTGTTGATCTATTGTGAATGTATGAAGCTTCAAACCATTAAAAAAGTATTAGAGAGAGAAAGCGCGCATATGCCGTGGGCTTTCGATAGCATGCCAATTAAACTACAACATTGAACGTTCTAATTATCAAATTTGGCCGCGTTTGACATCATCAGAAAGGGAACGAAGTTCTACAGGTAAAATGATTATGTTTAAAGTTCCAAAAGTCTGGAAAGTTTAGAACCATAAGCGTTTATTCGAGCGAGAAAATTTCTCTACGATGGCTTAACATAGGCGTTCTCTCTGTTCCCTTTCTCAGTCTCCGGATCAGCTCGAAAGTTTTACGATCAGTAGCAAGCCTGTGTGAGGAGAGAAGCCGCTCACGTACAGCGATAAAGTCTTTCAAAAATTTCAACGTATTGCGCGTTTTGCGCCGTGGTGCAGTGGTACTGTTCTACTGCCTACGCGGATCTAACGACGCAGCCGGAGTTCGATACCCCCATCGGCGCCTTTTTCAGCCGTTTCTCGGTTTCCCTCGGATTGCGCCCTGCTTAGACTAGCTTCGCCACTAGCCTATACTACTGTAGAGCGGCACTGATACAGCATAGCATGTGTTTATCATCTTGAAATTTTTGCCCTTTTTAGAACTGTTCGGCAATGGTAACTACACCAATCCCACGGAGAAAAAAGCAAAGGACATATACAACCAGTGCCTCAACGAAACGCATGGTATGCAAAGTTGATTTTGCCTTGTACTTGAAAGATAAAACCATTATCATACAGCGGCAGTTATCTGCAATACATTATAATATAAGGCACACGGTTTGAAGGCAGTACCGACTGCACGCCGTGATCTAAGGCTCTAATAGGCGCTTGTAACAGCAGAACGCAACGCAGTATTTCGGGGTTTTTGTCACCTCCAGGACTCCCATGTAACACCAACTAATATAATATTTAACCTTTAGCAGTATACTTAAAGAAGAATCCGACCACCATCCTATAAAATTCAGAAAATGTATTATTATATTTTGAGGTTTTTAATGGCGAGCTAATTTTCACTTAAACCGGCTTAGTTTTCTTATAGTTTCTTAGTGGGTTTCTGTTTTCTTATGATCTCTTGTGTTTCTTCTTGTGTTTTCTCTGGTTTCTTATGTTTACCTAGCTGTCGCTCTCGTGACAGTCGACGAAGACTTCGTCAATGTCGGTGAGCCACCTTGCTTAAGTTTGCATATTCACCGCTGCAAAATACACTTCAACCTTTTTTGCATTTTCATTTAAAAGTGAATTAGTAAGAAACGCCTCGTATGACAATGATTTGCATTTTTTTCGCATGAAAATTCAAAAATCCAAGTTTTTTATCCAAAACGCAGAATGTCGGCTATTATCAGCTTTTGTCAACAGAGCTGCCATTTGACGACCGCACTATAGTGCGCGCTGTTGACGACTTGTTGGGCGGATGGTCCCTGTTGAAAGACAATCCCAATGTGTCCGATTTTCCTCTGGACGAAGCACTCGTTCGCCTGCAGCAGAACGATATTCGAACCTTCAGCGACCTCTCGGTGCTAGCAGACGACTTGTCCAGCGACAAAAGCATTCTGTTTTTCAACATGCCGGTCCGTCTCTCGCAACGATGGGAACTAAAGACACTGTCGAGCGTCACACTGCTCACCAATCCAATTAATGCAACTACGCAGTTAATGAACAAGTGGACGCCGATTGTGAAGCGTTTATTGAAAGCAACTAATGCAAGTGCGCAATGGTCTTCAGTTGAAAAGCGATTTGAGGAAGCTGTTAATTTAGACGTGATGCTTGCGATGGTGCGAGCTACTGTAAGTTGCGAAAATCTGCTAGACCATTCGTGGTTTTTTTCAAAAAATATTGTAAAAATCCGATTCTGCAAAGCTGTTACTCCTTTGATAGCTAAAGTTTCAATGCACATTTAATTGTTTTCCAATTTTTTTGTACATTTTATTTCAGCTTCACTGAATTTTCATTTTGTTTTCTTTTTGATTTTATGTAAGGTTTTTTTTATCACAGTTTCATTTAACTTTTTATTTGCCGTTACTCAAATATTATACTATTGTACAAGTATTTATTAAATTTCGTCAGATTTTAAACGCCTTTTTGTTTTGTCATCTTTCTTAAATTTTTCAAAATTGTTTGGTTTTTAGCGGCCATTTGGGCCTACGGACTATCTGAAGCGCTTAACGTTTGGCGATCTGTCTAGACCACCATTCCGTTCGCGATTTTTAGCAAACTTCTTGCCGCTTTTCAACGCCATGCTGGGAGCATCCGCTGTGAAATTTCAAGCCACGAACGCTACACAGTTCGGAGCCCCGCAGCTAGAATATCTGTACAAGTTGGATCAGAGGATGGCGCAGCTGGAATTGGACGAGGATGCCGGACTGGTAATACTTGGTGATTGGCTGTGGTGGATCGCCCTCTATCACTATCACTTAGTATATCGAGGGACGGGGAATTGCATACGGCTTGTGAAAGCGGCCATGCCGTTGGCCGTTTCGGGAATGTTCTCCAAGACATACATAACAAGCGAAGCCGTTCAAAAGGTCTAGCAGAAACAAACCAATTTCCTCATAAAATAAATTGTGTGGCATTATTCATAACAAGCAATGCGCCGGATAAAAGAGTGTTGAAATGTTTAACGGCTATTTGCGTGCAACAGGCAGAAGAGCTGACATCGGAAATTTATAACGGGGTTTGCGACGCAGTCATTCTTGAGACCACCTGGATGGATCGAGAAACCCAGGAAGCCGCAATAGATAAGCTAAATCATACACTGCGGAATATCGGTTATCCAGAGGAGTTTTTGCACAACTGGACAGTTATTGAGGACCTTTACTCCAAGGCAGGTCTATCTCGGCGCACCGTCAAGTTTTAAAAAGAATCTTTGCAGGTTGACTTAGTGCAAATTAAGACAAGCTTCGCTTGGAGAAATCCATGTTTTAATATGCGTTTGCCAACGGGAACAAGGACACCAGTCAATATACGAAACGCTCAACAATTTGACGAGAGCATTTTTACTCAGGAGTGACGTGCGCTGTTTCTATAAATTTGATGGGCATTGTCTATAAAAGATCGAACCAGCATTTATCACTAGATTAATATGCCATTTTATTTTAAAAAGTTCATAAATCGTAGTAAATTGGTGTATTAACCAGCTGCATACGTTAACGAGTGACAAAGCACTAGTGAAAAAGTTTTCAATTGCGATGAAATGCGTTGAAGCCATTCCTGTCATATTTGCAGGTTCAAGCGGGGGTTTCTTTCTTCGACACACTGCGGACCATCGATCAAAGCAACAGTTGGATTAACTTGCGAAAACTTTCACGCACCAACGCTCGCAATGATCCCTTTAGCCCGACCGATCTTACTGCGATATTCGCCGAGATGGTCCCGTTCAGCAATCACATTGGTATCTCACTAGCTTGTTTAATTTACTTTAAATGATCCTTCAAAAATTATTTTTCTTGCCACGGGTAAGTATTTTAAGTCGGTCCGTGAAAAGTTGTTCTGTAGATTTTGGCGTTTATGATTTTTTTACACTCCTTTTTGCTGTGGGAATGAACATTCCTAAATTTTATTTTGTACGTCTACTATAAATTTTGTCTGGTCTGTTTTATTATTTAAACTTTATTTTTGATTTACTATTTTGTAATTCTGCTTTGTGTGTGCTTCGAACGTTAATTTTTTTGCACCTGAGAATGATCGCTGGTCGGGTTTGCAGTTATTCCAGCTTCCCCATTACAGCCACCTATGCTTTACACAAACGATTATTTTGCAATTTTCAACTACGCACGCTTGGGTTTTGACATTGGCCACGAATTCACCCATGCTTTGGACACTGGAGGCTAGTATGGCTTCCTCAAGAGTGCAAAAAAGCTATATTCTAAAGAGGGGATAATTTCCCCAAATATATAACTGTAACTATTGTGTTCAGGTAGACAATTTGGGAAAGACGGGAAACCGTTTAACTGGTGGACAAATGCGACGCAGAACAGCTACAATACGAGAAACTACTCTTTAGTGGATTTCTACAACAATATCACCATAAAAAGCGGCATTGTCGATGGGCGCCAAACACTCATCGAAAACACTGCCGACAACGGCGGATACCGCGCTGCTCACTGGGTCTGTACTTCAGTTGTGTTCCAGATATTTGCACGGTGAGCAAGGAGTGGTTCTTTGCAGGCTTTTAAAAACTTTGTGCGTCGCACGGGATACCGCATCAAATTGCCGGGCTTAGAAGACCTGAATGAGGAGCAATTGTTCTGGTTAATAGGGGCTCAGGTGACCTCTGTTGTCCATTTCAAAGGGGCAGGGTAGCAGGGGGATTTGTTTTCAGATATGGTGTATCAGTGATCCAGCATATACCGACGGAACACACGCGCCGTTTAGATATCGTGTGCTGGGACCGTACATGAATAACGCGGATTTCGGTGCAGCTTACAATTGTACGCTGGGATCTCCGATGAATCCTCTGAAAAAGTCGTGGTAGTGATGCTTTGGCTCTTTAAAGCTGGTTTTAACTTTTAACAGCAAAAGAGCTATTACTGTATAAGGGCTTGGTTATCACACCATTACACACCCAGATATTTACCAACGCAATATTTTACCAAATGCGCTTCATTATTATTACTGCAACTACAATAGCGAAGGTCCAGACTCCAGAGACAGAGACTTTAACAGGCCGCTTCCGAAATCGGTTTGCTTGATTTTGAAAGCTTATTTTTTCTTTGGTTTGATTTTATGAGATTAAAGTAACCCCACTTAGAAGTCGAACCCAGGAGATACGATCTTAAAGCCAGACGTACTTACTACCACCAGACCTTGGGTAATTTCCATTAAACATGTAATGATAATTACATACAAGTATCGGTCGCGCTAGCGCGCGACCAGTTGTGTTCGAGGTATGGAAGAACGAAAGAAACACAAAACATACTTCCTTCGTACAGCAATAAAAAAAATTTGAGAAATATTTCAAATATAAATCCCCAGCGAGGCCAGCACGAAAATATTCTGAACATGTAGAATGCGGAAAGTTTTCAAGCTTTCCGGTTAAATTCAAACCAGTTTATAAAACTGTGAAAGCCACCGTAATTTTCTTGTTTCACGGTCCTTTTTCACGTTTTTAATGTAACTTTATATTTCCGATCTAACGAACTGAAAACTTAAATTTTTTGGTACGACAGATAATATTACACGATGCCCATAAAAAACGATTCAGCCGATATTTCAGCGCAGAATTATTGGAAACTTCAAACTTGTGGTTGTGGGAAACGATTAACGGTTGCCCGAGGTGACCTCGCAGGCTGCATCTTTAGCTACGAAGTGAATGTAAGATTTTCAGCCATTCAGTCAAGCTCTTCAGTATTTATCATAACAAAATAAATACATATTTATCAGATTTCGAGGTTAGTGAATACCCAAGCTACCACCAGAATTACAGAGCAACGTAGGTTAGTGAATGCCCAAGCTGCCACCAGTATCATAGAGCCGCTACGTGAGTGGATACAATTTCCGGGCCGCGGGCCGTTTTTATATATTCGGAAATTACATAATTATAAGTTAGACAATTTACACCGTGATATATATATATATATATATATATATATATATATATATATATATATATATATATATATATATATATATATATATATATATATATATATATATATATATATATATATATATATATATATATATAAATATATATATATATATATATATATATATATATATATATATATATATAAGAAGAAACAGTATATTGTATAAACATAAAATGGCGTCGGTTACGTCATAAACTGGAGTTGGGAGCTGCACTTTCCAGCTGCAATTCCCGGTTGGACTTTATGACTACAGCTTCCAACTCCAGAATATGAGTCATCACAATTTGTATAGTGTATAGTATAGTATATATATATATATATATATATATATATATATATATATATATATATATATATATATATATATATATATATATATATATATATATATATGTAGTTAAAATTTTATACAATAGTTAACTAATTACAGTCTTTCGGGAGGAAGTAAGTATTAAAGGCACCACGGAACGCATAAAAACCTAGAAAAAAAAAATAAGTGACTTTTGCTACAATGGCGCGCATTGTGTGTAAAAAAAACTTTTGCGAAGCCGTGGTGGGGACTTGCATTATTGTTATGTTAATTCTTATAATACTGCTGGAAGCATTTTTCGGAGCAAGCCACAGTGTCAGGACCTTTATTAACAATTGCACCGCACTGGAAGTTGATGATTTACTCAATCGAAACATCACCCCATGGGCGAGTGTTAAAATCAGAGTCAACAATTCTACGTTTTGAGTAAGTAAGTTTAAATCGTTTGTTAATTTCCGCCGACGAAACTTCCAGCTTGCGCTTATTGCGTGTTATGTTGAACGGATAATTCACGGTAATTCCGCTTGGCTGGTCCGGTGGTGCCAGGCTTTCCAGTAGCATCTCTTTCAGGCTTTCCAGGTTTAGCTGTTTTTTTCGCTTGCCGTGTCAACGTAAATCCCTTGACTTTTATCGTTTCACATCCAGTATTTGTCCGGTAAGCATAGCTTTTTGGTCCTGGGACAACAAAGAATTAACATTTTAAGTTGCTCGCATATTATTATCTAGATAATTATTCTTTTACCAAGCGCTACAAATTCGTCAATGTACTCGTCAGGCTGTAAAGACGAGGACAAATCACCCAAGCACGTTCCCGTTGGTGGATCGGGCAAATCGTCTCTATGGATGTGGAAAATGCTGTCTGCAAAATAAAGAAGTGGATGACCAATTTGCCGATAATACTGTTTCGCGCGTTCACCTGTATCGTGGTATAACAAACGGTCTCCAACCATTTCCATGAATTTTAATAAGTGTAGCCGTGCGTACGCAGTCGTAAAAGCTGCGATAACAACATTGGTCTTTTTGCTCGTCGCAATGTAGTCCTTCTTGGAGCGGTATTGAACTGCCATAACTTCATCGGTGACCAAATCGAACCCGGCGACTTCGTACTTGTTAGAAAACAAGTAATCATGGAATACCTCTTTCTTTTCCACCATATCCGTGTTGGATCGGTCTTCCTGTTGACCAAATTTTCCCTGCAATGAGCGTAAAAATAATGAACATGCACAAATTAAATAAGTTCACATGTGTACCAAAACTATTTAGCATAAGCTTGCAAAGAGCTCTCAATGCGTCGTTTTTCGCAATATTCTTTTTATCCAGTAGAATATTTTCTTTAGCAAGGAATTCTTGAATATATCTGTCTTTTTCATCTTCCGTTTGACACTGTGGTGGATATCCAGAAGCTTCCGTTTTCAGCTTCAAAAACAGGTCAATGTATTCTCTGAATAAATACTGCATTTGTTCTGGATAGTGCCAAGCCGAGTATATTTTATCGATACGATAGCCAACTTCTAATGCTCGATGAATTTCTTGAGTGCACCAAGTTCCTTCCAGAGCCCTGTCCTCATCATCGTGAGAACATGGTTCGTTTACGCGTTCCGTCACGCATTTAGCGCATAAAGGAAAAGTCAGTTTATCAGTTTTGTAAGGTAGCACCGGTAAAAAACAACGACGGTAGAGGAATGACGCGACATTTAATTATTCCAAAATACTCTCCACAGGCGGAAAATCTTTAGTAATGATAACAGGCGGTCCCACCGGATAAGGTAGATTTTTGTTAATATAAGGGTATTCGCTGATAACGTCGAGCGAATAGATTTTTTCTCCAGGATCGCACTTGTGGTACAACTTGATAGCGTTTGTCCTGCCACCAGTAAATGCGTCTCGGGGGTGCATAGGTTCTTCAATACCGGTCAACTGAATTATTTTCTGAAATTCCAGGTCAGTAGTGAGCCGGCTATCATAGTCGTGTTCCCAGATCGAAACTACGGAATAGCCCATAGTTTTGATAGCTTCAAGGCGTAAGGCAGTTGCTTTGTTAACTTCCTCCATTGGCCGTTTCAGAAGGGGATGCAGCGTGCTTTTTGTTGTGCATTCGCTGCAGCCGTGCCACATACATCCTGCACAAAAACATTGAAGGTGAATTGCGTTTTGAATGTGATCGATAACATTTATATCGAGCTGACTAACCTAAAAACTCGTAAGCGGTTTTGTATCCCGATCAAAACCATCCACAGTCCAGTGACCGATTCGATGCTCTTTTGCAATTTTACATCATTTTCCATTTCAATCCAGCGTAGCCAACGCTCTCCTTTGACAGATGACTTTTTGCCCTGACCAGGAGGGCCGATCAACGCAATTTGGTTTTCCTTCAGCATTCGCGCTCTCCAAAAGTAATTGCACATGCCGGGTGTGGTTAGTCCAGACGCAAATGGGCATAATCCATCGGTTACCTGTTGGAAAAGCGCTCGAAATTTTTCGCACGCTTGTTGCAAAATGAGGACATCTTGTGAGCAATACCTAAAACGAATCGGATAAGTTCGATTCTGTAAATAGCATAAGGGTTTAGCTTACTTGATAAAGTGTGCATTAAAGTCGAATTTGTTCCTGTGACGGCGTCGCTCTTTGCGGTACCATTTCATGAAGCGCTTTCGTTCTTTCTTTTCATAGACTGATAGCCATAGTCATGACGATCGGGCCAAGCAGTTATTTTATTCCAGTTTTCAGGGGTTATTAAGTTTGTGTGGAAATCTCCTTTGGTTTCTTGCAAACCAAATGCTTTCAAAATTTTTTAACGATGATGGTACATAGTTCATAGAGTCACGAAATTTTATTTTGAGTTTGGGCACGTCCATCTGCATAACCTTGCTCCCGTTGAAAATAAGCGGACGTGGAATAACGCCGTTTTTCACGAGATAATTCAAAATGAAGTATCCATCAAATCCCTGAAAAATAAATTATCAATTTATTTAATAAAGAAGTTAAGTTGCAGACAAACACTGGTGGCACTTGAACTCGCAGCGGTGATACTGTCTTTGATCGTAGCCTTTCATGCAACGGTAACAGTAATAGTGGTGCTCAAAATAGGCCGGTAAAGATGTTAAAACATCAAAATGTTGATCGTGATGCAGCAGCATAATTCGCTTTTCGCAGTAGGCGCCGCAGTAGACGATAGAATTTCCATGATCCACAGATACCACAATAAACTGATAATTCGGTAAAACTTCTTCAAAGCGGGGAATATCTTGCACGTTGAATTCTCTGTTTGGCAGGTTGGCAGTCAACAATAATTCTTTTGTCTTCTGGTCTTGCAACTTTATGGTTCGGTAAAGCTTTGTGTACAGCTCTTTGTCGCCATCTGCATGCGCTTGTGCCACAACTATAGCCCTGGCCATACACAAACAGTCCGTATTTCGAATCTGGGTAATACATCTTTTGTTGTCTAAAATCCGCTGCAACAATTTTGATACATTTTTTCTGCATGATCCGGATGGCAAATCAGTGTGCTGGACTGACAGTTCAAATGATTCGTCTAGCAGAAAAGCCTGATTAGAGTTTAGAATCCGCCTTATTGTCGTCATCCACCGTTCAATTGTTATTTGGTCCCGCCGAATAGGTGGCATCCAAATTGGATACTGCAGAGCATTTTGATACATGCGGATTCGCACCAGGTTATGCGCTGGAATCGCAGCAATCACACTCTCAGAATATCTTTCAAAACGAGTGTTATCGTTTTAACAGCATACTTGAACGATAGATTATCCAGCCCCGTCACTGTACATTTGTAAGTTTCGAACGAAACTGAAAATTTCTGGGAATATTTTGCTCCGATATTTTCGAGCACATAATAATCTTTAATGTCATTCAAGTCTGGATCGACTTCGTCAGCTATATTCAAAGCTGGCAGATCAGCTCGTGGTACAGTATAATTATGATCAAGAAGAGCATAATCATGATTGAAAAGTGCGGTATCAGCAAACTGTGGGTTACTAGTACAGGCACCCGTACTCAGAGTTGCTACAGCTGTTACATCGATCAGATCGCTCAATGATTCATGCGTGACATGTATGCGATCAGTGTCACCGGAAATATGCGGATGCAGCACCAGCTTGTCCAACGCAGATTGAAAACTGCCATCGTCCGAAATTGCATGGAAGTCAGATTTTAATAAGCATCTGTCATTGATAATAACCGCAATCAGATTTTAATAAATCCTGGAACCTTTTGCGTAGAAAACAACGCTTAGGGGGTCTTTAACGTTTTGCAGATAGTTTCTGAACGCTCGATTTATCTGAATCTCCAGGTCCGAGAAAGCTTTAACAAATATTTCATCGACATTCGTGGAACTGATGCCGTACTTGCTAACAATGTAATTATCCGGAGGAAGCAAAAATCGGGTGTAATATAGACAATGGAAATCAACAGAACTAATTGCCAGTTCCGTTATAATTGACTTCTCATTACGATTATACCATTTGATGTCCACAACAATTCGAAAAACCATTCTGCTTCGCCAAATAGAAATAGATGCAGTAAGGAAAAACTTCTATGAAGCACATGTTTTTGGCAAGACCACGAGTACAAAATGCGATGTCCTGTTTATATTTCGAAACAAAACATCCACATGGCAGCGCAATGTTGCTGTAGTGTAATATTTTGTTGCACTGCAATTTGTTGCGGTACAAAGTAACTACACCTACACTCATACGTAAGGGTTTGGATGGCCAGACTTTATTGCATTATTTGACGGAAAACAGACTGAATTATCATAGAGCGATCACGTATTACAGTGTTCAAATCAAAATAATGATTAATATAAGCACAAACCATTCGATCATTCGACGATTTGCTATTGGTGAACAAATGAATAAGAGAGGTAAATGACTCGCCGGAGCATCGTTTTAGAATAAAAAAGCAGCAGTACTGTCCGCACACGGTACTCCATTCCATTTGTAAACGATGCGCTTGCGAAATAACTAACTCGGCGTTCTTGCAAAAACTTTCAATATGGATGCCGTAAAATCTCGGTTCGTGACCATAAGAGTCAAAATATTCCAATTTTCCCGGGACGTCCTGGTAGAACGCCAACCAATGTGAGCCTGGCTTTGCAGCTTCGTCAGTATTGACAACGCATGCCCATGGCAGCTTCATTGGCAGGGACGGTGGTAACATGTCCGCAGCAAATACACCAATAAAAGCATCTTTCGTCACGGTACTTGAACGTAGCACGTGGTCGATTTCAGCAGTGTCCATTTTAGTGCCGATCTGCATTCAAAATAAAATCTGAATTTTTTTTTTTTACACTTTGTCCTGTAAACAACGGGCGACCGAGAGCGCGAAGCGCTCCGGTCGCCCATTGTTTACCACATCCGTCACGATTCTCTTCAGCGTCAAAAGGGGCCGACGGCGCGCCCACCCCCGCTGGCGACCCTGAAGCTTACCGCGCAGGCAACAACACGGCATTTTTAAGTCTTACAACACTTACGTTAGGTTTTTACGCTGTAAAATCCGCAATTAGCTGGCGATGTGAATTAACTTCAATAATATTATCCCACACCATCATCGTAATGGCCATAATTGGTTCAGTTAATTGGGCGGCGAACTGCAGGCGGATTGATAGATTTCCTTGGCGCACGGTGCTCATCGGTCCCCGGCCTGTCCGTGAAGGTGTCAGATCGAATCCCCAAATAGAAAATCCTTCCGCAAATGCTTTACGGTCGAAAGGCAGCGCCCCGTCCGGTGCGTGCAAGCGGCCGAGCGTCTCCAACAGACCGTCATATGATTGCAAATAATCACCCGTGGCGAAATTTGGTCGGTAGGCTTGTGCGGGATACGACTGTCCGTCGACTTCGACACTTATATAGTTGAGATTGAAATGTTCAAAGTTAAACGGATTACCTCGGCGCAGCCCGTGAAAACTCGAGCTTTTTACAAATCCCACAAAAACACATTTGGGTACTGCTCCAATATGTAAATTAGCCAGCACTGTGCTCTGAATCATACCAATATCATTAACACGCATACACACTCGCTCAATAGGGTATTTCACAGTCTTTGTCGATAATTGGGCAGTAAGCGCAGACAAATATGCCGGATTAGGCACAAAGCGTTTGACGTACAACCGCGGATTGCGAATGTATGCTTTAAAGGTATCCACTGGAAGATTGGCATATGTACGCAGGTAGAATTCCGGCTTATTCAAAATGAGGCGCACATGTAGCGGTACACCGGTGATCAAATTTTTTCCCTGCTGAAAAATGTCCGTACATAATTTGGCGCTGAACGGGACGTACTCGTTGGTCACAAACATAGCTTTTCGCGTTACTTCTCCAGCGTTATTGGCATGATCTTCTAGGTACCCGGGAGTGTCTATATAAAATCCAGCACTTGTTGCCTGGCTTTTAGGGCAGCCGGTGTGTACCCCAACAAATTTTCCAAGTACGCTCGGTAGGCATATAATGGGGTGGAATTAGTTATCAGGCGGTTGGCCATTGTTACCTCTACCGAGCTGAATATAGAATGCGCAATCAAGTTCACTGGTGCTACCAGATCCGTGTTTTCAATATGCGTAGCCGCACCAAGTCCTGCAATTTGCTTTTTGATTGCAATATCCATTTCTAGCGTAATTTCCGGTAGCACTAGCAGCGCCGACGTTGAAGGGGAATGTAAAGGAAATTTCTCCAGAACTAATTTCTTCTGTTTGCCCTGATGTTGGTAGAATGCGTTCTTCTTCTGTCCGCACAAAATCCGCTAGAGTGGCCGGAACGGAGAATAAATCCGACTCGACCTGCATAGCTGGCACGCTTCCTTCCAAAATAAAAGCCATTTTAAAATGCGTCCTCAAATTCTCTTGGGGAATCCGTTTAAGCCGTTTAAGTCGGAAGGAAGGTTTCTTTATCTTTTGTCCTCTTGTGCTGCTGCTTGAGCCGTTTGATGCCTCCTTGCTGTTGAGGTTGCGCAGTTAACGCTTCCGAAATTTTCTCTCCTACCTTCTTGGATGTTTCACTTAAAACTGTTGTCGCTGCGTCGCGTAAGTGGGGCTTTGCTGCTTCCATTGCTGCTCTGGCATGTGGTGCCGCTGCTTTAATAACCGGGGCAGCAAAATGCGCTAATTTACGGGCATTTTTTAGCGATAGTAATACTGAATGGGGCGGAAATGCAGCTTTACCATTGACTTTCCAGTCTGAAAAATTGCCGCTTCTCCGAGATCAGTTGCAATGTTGATATCAATAGTGTCCAGTCGATCGTATAAAACAGGTAAATAATGTGGATCCTCAAACCTTTCGGAAACAATTTCGAAGCGAGGAACACTTGCTTTAATGGGGAAAGCGCGCAAAAGCTGCATAGTTTCATCGCCCACAATATTGTAGTCGCACTTGTTGCAGTAGACAAAAATTGACTGGTTCCCAATGTGCATATTTACGGGCTTATCTGCTGTCATTGTTATAGACGTCTCCAACAGTTGCAACTCTGCCAGGGCTTTCAGCTGGTCGGACAGTGTTGTAGCTGCGGAAGCAAAATTCGTTTTTTCCATTAAAAAATTTTCATATTGTTCAGACTGTGCAGCAGAAAATCGTCGTTCTTTAAATCCAAGCATACGGGATAGATGCAAAGATGAGGGAGGAAAATCCAGAAAAACACGTACGCTGGGAAATTTGACTTTGAGCTTGGGCTCGGTTGCAAATAATTCTAGTTGGAAAGCCGCCTGTTCTTTCGCTGAAGAATCGCGAAATGGCTTTAACCGTGGTACTTTACTGTTGATAAAATTAATGATGTCACTTTTCTCATAGATCCCTGCAGGTACCGTAATTGTGTCCCTCTCCATAGCGAAAACACCGTTGCTATCCATAGAAGTAATTTGGTCAACGTGCAACGTTTGGGGACTGGGTAAATTGTACATTGAATTAGGATACTGTATTTCCACCAATGCCATTTCCCATTGTCCCGGTAGCGATATCACGCTCTTTAACTTTGTGGTCCATTCAGCTGCATTATTCTTTGGGAACTGTTGCATACAGGCATCAGATGGAAGCGTGACATAAAAGCTATTATGAGCCATTTCTGACACGACTGAGTTCGGCTTCGTAATATTTCCCGCGAATTAAGTCCCCGTCTTCATCCAGTAATACGTAGAGGGGCTCGGGCTGTTGTGGTAATACTTGGTGTATCTTGTAAATTTCCTCCTTAAATGTTGACTCATATCCTTTTTCAAAAAGTGTTTTGTCGATGGCTACTCGTACTGTGTCACCTACGCTGTACTTTGGCTTTTTCTGCTTTCCCAATAATAATTCTGCATATAGTCGATTGAATATTTGCAGAGAATTGGACTGGCTAACCTCATTAGGCGTGACTTTATGCGAAGAATGAATTGCGTTGTTGTAACTGTTTACCAAATCTCCCAGAACGTCCCAGTACACTTTAGACTGTCGGTGTCGAAATAATTTCCATATTCGTTTCTTGAGATTGCGTATGCCATTTTCAGCTAAGGATGCTTTGATTGCTTTATTTTCAGAAGAGAACAAAAAAACCTTTTAGGCTGTCAAAAAACTCTTAACGTCCTTATTGTAAAATTCAAGACCTTTGTCCGTTTGCAATTTAATGGGAGCTCCGAGTTCTGCAAACACCTTTTCCAACCCAAGTTTTACTTCTAGACCGCTTTTATTCTTTAGTAGTTGACAGCTCACTTTCTTCCTGAAGACGTCGATCACAAACAATATCCAACGGTATCCTTTGTTCTGCTTCGCATATTTTGACATGTCTGCCAGATCGGCTTGATATTGCTCCGCTAGGTTTGAGACAACTACGGGGTTTCTTTTGAACCTTTTGCGTCGAGATTTGTGGACTGTATATGGATCCAGATGCTCCAGCTGTTCCCGCGTTTGTTGATAGTTTGGTGCTTGTGGAAAGTGGCTGCGAAACTTTTGAATCCCTGTTAAGCTGCCCGGGTGCTGAGGGTTCAGATACGCTTGTCGTAGCAGTAGATTGGCCATCGTATTCGTCGTCGCTACTGCTTGATCCATCGCAACAGCTAGATGTGCAGTTCCATGTCATACCTTCACCCAAAGACAAAGAAAAGGGAACGCATCCACCACCACTCATTTGTTATTAATAGTCATCCAGTTGAACTGGGATTTGGTTCTTGAACCGATGGGACCTTCGATTTGTAAAGTGTTTTCATCAAATACTTCTCGCTTTGCACGCTTGCGTTTTGCCGGGGTGCAGGTGGAATAGGAGGAAAGCATCTAACATACGATCAGGCATATTAGGGGGTACCCACGGCTTCTTTAATAGTTGTACTGGAATGGGGGGCACAGATGCTGGAGGCGGAATAACCATTTGGTCAGGGCCGAACGCCGACTCTTTCAGCGCCAAAAAGCGAGCCAAGTTTCTTGATAACAGTTCCGCTTTCTCCCATTCGCTTAGCGTATTCCGTGAAATTATATCTCTCATCAAATCGTCCAGTTTTACAATATCCACAACTGCAGTGGGCTGCTGTTGTAATTGGACATCCGTTACAATACGACCAACCGTGTCACTTGCAAGTCTTTTCATTTCGCTCGCGGGAACAATATAATGCACTTCCGGTTTCATTTCAGTAAGGCAGTTCCCAAAACAGCTGCCAATACAGGTAGAACCGCAGGTAAGAATCCTCCGCGCTGTAATAAAATTTCCCTCTTGCTTCGTAAAGGATATTTTTTGAGGGCAATCAGCTTTAATGGTCGACGCCAACGCTGACACACCTTTAGCTGATCGGTGGTAAGAGGCACTGAATTCTTTACCAAATTCAAACAAATTTCTTCAAAACAGCGAAGTTGTCGTTTCGAAATATTTTCCAAAAGAAAACGACGCTGCTTGGGTTTCAGCGATCGCAGGGTAAGGAGAAACGGTGCAAAGTCTTTTAAAATCTGATCACACATTCTTGGGCAAGGTTGTCGTATGTGGATTAATGTAAATTTTAGTCAACTCTCCCGGTAATATTGCTGAACGAATCCTTAAATAGGCAGGTGTGTCCGGTTTCATATCCAGAATGAGAGGTTGAAATGGTTCCTGGCCGACTTCCTCGTAAGCTCCGCTGAGATGTTTTAAACCAGTCTGCCTTTCTAGAATCTTGATTTGGTTCACATCACGATTATTTTTGAACAGTATAAGATATTGTGCATTAAGATGCACGTCTCGCATAGCAGACCCTTGTTTATATAGGTTATTGAATAATAGAAATACACAAAGCCGTTTATGGTGTACTTTTTGAGTGAAGAGTTTAGCCAAATGCTCATTTTTCACCAAACCACTTGCCACGTCATCCAGTATCAACAAAATATTTTGTTTACCATCAAAATAATTTTCATCCTCCACAATTTGTTGAATATTTTTTGTCAGTTCAATCCAAGGGACTTTGCGCTGAAGCACTTCGTAGGCTGGCTGCATTTCTCCGTACACCAAAATAATTCGTCCAAATGGTTGGTCAAATAATTTATCGCGCTCCATAATTAATTTTGACACATATGTCGTTTTCCCCGAAGTCGTTGGCCCCACAACAAGGACTGAAGCGGGTAGTCGGAATCTCAAATCAGCTGTCGTGCGCGGATACCTATTTAAGGAATCCATTTCCAAAGGGCGGAGCTATTGCTAGCGTACCGATAACAGAATGGAGACTTCAAAGCGGAGGGTTGTCTTAGATATTGATTGGTTTATCGCTGGCTCCCAACGGCTTATAAAACAGCTGGCATTTTGTGATTGCCCAACTAGTGTTAGCAGGTGCTACACATTCACCATTCCATCCCACTTTAATCCTTACCGCGTTGAATTTAGGAGCCAATCGCGTCACTCACACGGACTTGTCTGGCATAATCGTGGAGATTATTTATACTTGGACATCGCCAGGGCGATTCAGGATATGCTGGAGCTTATTGGTGAACGACCTGCGCGTTTGACGTTTTTTGCCAAAGGATTGGAAAAGCAAAAGATTTCGGAAAATTATTTGCCTGAAGTGTTTAATCTTGAAGACATTGGGTGCCCGAAGTTTAAGGAGCTTACTTCATTACCACAAACAACGCTTTCAAAAGCGGAGACATTTGCAAATTGGCTGAATGGCGAAAATAACTAACGTTGTTGCAACTGCTGACCTTGGCTGCGCAATTGACTTACCCAGCTTATCCGAACGCGCTCCGCTTGCTCATTATGCACCACATAAATTTTCCGGGCTTCTTCTCCGTTCCATTCGTCCTTACAAATCGCACTGCCAAGTGTACCGCAACGGCAAGATCACAGTTAATGGTGCAAAGTCCATCAGTGATGCTCTCGCGTTATTGGATCACTATTACCGGAAACTGCAAAAATACGGCTATCAAAAAGCATCGTTAAAGAATCCAAGAATTGTTAACATTGTCGCCACTTTCAATTTTGGGAAATTTCTTAGTTTAGAGAAATTATACAACTCAATAAGAGCAAAAGCTGATGCCATGTTTGAACCTGAAATATTTCCGGCCATGCGAGTCCGGCTTCAAGGTTGTACGGCGATGATTTTCCTTTCTGGAAAAATTAATTTATTAGGTGCAAAAGATGCTGATACTCTTCATACTGCTGAAAACGAATTGCGCCTGTTATTAGGAACCTAAATGCAGCAGTAAATAAAATTACAAAAAAAGCTATCGTTGCATATTTCTGTTACCTGGCATTACAAAGCATTAGTGCTAAATTTATTAAGAAATGTAAAGAACGTTTACCCTTAAAAGTATCTGGTACATACTACATATACAGTGCAATACTGTACAATACATTACTCATTAATTATGATAATTAGATTTTATTACGAAATGTATTTTTTTGTTATAAAAGCATTGAGCAAACATACAAGCATATAATAATAATTTTTGTAATCAGGAAACTGCGGAATCAGCAAATTACGCCATACCGTTGACAAGGTGGAAAAATTCTTTGAGAAGTTCAGGCCAACTTTTTCCACTCAAACCCTCGTAGTTTATAGCAGCCCCGAAACTATGTACACATGACAAATACAGCATGGGTTACAACGTAATATAAACTAAAAACACTTGCTTCACTTACTTCGTGTACAAGAAATTCATAAATTCTGCAATTAGCGGAGTAATCGTTAACAGAAACGTGGCTTTGGCTCCAGTGGAAAAAATTTTGCAACGACCCTGGCGGACTTTTTCCAGTTGATCTGCACGCACGCATAAGCATGCACGCAGTAGACTGCAAATAATTGTCAAAATTGATTACACACTACAGGCATAATGTACAGTAATAAAGAAGATAATATTCCATCGTACCTGTTAGTTTCCATGATTATATATGTATAAATAAATTGAGAATAGAGCAGCTAGTAATATCCACTGAAAAGTAATTATATTTCACTTACTATGCGTTGAAAGGCTTTGACGAGCCAGATGCGTTAAAGTGCTCCTCCATAGTGTAAAAGAATGTAAACAACTTGTTGAATCAAGCAGTGAAAGTAAACCAATATAACTGTACAGTGTACAGTAGTATCCATATAGTACAGTACCATCCATCCATCCGTACAGTACTCCAACCATTGGGCGCATGTCAAGTTTCACAATTATATATAAGCCGTGCACAATCCAGTTAAGCAATTAAACTACTCGATAAGTTGACAAATAATTTGTATATTATAAGTGCGCAGCATTACTATAAGTGTTTTCAATCAATAAGAGACGCGCATGGTATGCAGCACCATCGCTGACGAGCCAGTTGCGCTAATGTGCCAATGCCGCTCCATGCGGTAAAAGAATGTAAACAACCACTTGCACGCGTGCAACACGGCTGCACAGGTAGCTGCATCTGGGCTGCGAGCATCCTTGAGGTATGCACAGCAGATGCACCAGCGTGTGTGTGTGTGATTATCAGTAAGTGAGTAAATTAGTTAGTGTACTTCTATACGTGTACATATGCAGTAATCATATGCTGCAGTTGTGCTGAATCATATGCTGCAGTTGGGAGCTGCAAGTACAAAGTACAACCGGGAATTGTAACTAGAAAGTCCAGCTCCCAACTCCAGTTTATGACGTAACCGACGCCATCTTATGTTTATACAGTATACTGTTTCTTCTTATATATATATATATATATATATATATATATATATATATGAGACAATTTACACCGGTACTCAGATTTCTAGCTATTTTCAAAATTTAGAAACTCTGGAAGCTAGAAATATTTAGAGGTAACGACCCCGCGGAGCGGCCGAGTCGAAATATTTAGAAATTCTTGAAATGTAAAAGCTTTAAAGCCGACTTGGGAAGAACTTATAGTGATTTTAAGGTAATCGAACGGATTTTAGAACGTCTTAAAGGTTTCAAGAATTAGAAAAAGTAAAATTATGGTTGATGTAATTGGCAGTCTTAATTCAATAACCATTGTTTACGTTGCTAAATTGCGAACTCTCTAGAAGCATTTATTTACTTTAAGTCACTTGAATAAACAGCATTAAGTCACTGGAATAAACCGCATTAAGTCACTTGAATAAACAGCATTAAGTCACTTGAATAAACCGCTTCTCGATCACAAGTGAAACAACTACAACAACAACAACAACTTTCAAAAATTCATGATACGCCGGCGATTAAGTAATAAGTAAGTACTACATTTGATTACTGTACTATAAATCCTAAGTAAAGTGCTTACTACTACACTGCCACATTTAAGTACTATACCCTTTAGGTACTAACAACCCTTAAGTACTACAAATTTTAAAAGTTTTCTTAGACCTTCTTCAAAACTTATGATTTTTTTTTAGGTAAAAGTAGGAACGTTTGTGCGATGTTCTATTTTATAAAATTAACAACTTACTGAAAAAATCAATGTTGATTTAGAGATAATTTCCAAAACTAACGACCTTTAAGTACTATCGACCCTTAATTACCACAACTTTTGAAAGATTTTTTTAGACCTTCTCCAAACTTAAGATTTTTTTAAAGATCAAGGTAGGAACGTTTGTGTGATGCTTTATTTTCTAAAATTATCAACTTATTGAAAAAATCACTCTTGATTTAGGAGATAATTTCCAAAAAATAGGGACGTAAGGATATATGAATCTATTGATATGAAGAATCCGGCACCGCGACATTTCGCCGAGGACAATTAGTAGCAGAACTTTTGGTTGCAGACATTTCGCCGCAAGGTCATCTCGCTGCGCGACATTTCGTCGTGGGACGTTTCGTCGGCAGGACATCAAGCCGCGAGACAACTCGTTGGGAGGCTCTATCGACGCCGAGAGATTTAGCCTCGAGGCTCATTCAACGAAACGATTTTCTTTTAAAAGACATACTTTTTATTAGCCGGAATAAATAAAACATAAGAAACTAAAAAAATTTTCAGGAAACCAAGAAAATACGAGATTTAAGAAACCAAAAAATAACTTACATAACTTTAAATAACCTAAGAAATCTGAGAATAACTTTGACCCTAAAAAACCTAAGAAAACCTAAAAAGCCTCAGAATATCCCAAGAAACCTAACACACCTAAAAATCAAAGAAATTCAAGAAACCTAAGAACCTAAGAACACGTATGAAAAATTACAAGAAGCCCCTAAGAACTGAGAGCGTCCTATTCTTTTACGGCGAAGTGTCCGCGATCAGACGTCTTGCGCGAAAATGTCACAAAGTTACAATTTCGCAATGCAAATTGTCCCAAACCGAAGTGTCCAGCGCCTGACTGTTCTGCGGTAGACGATATCGTTCGAGTGATCAGCAAGGTGTAATCTTAAGTGGTGCTAGTACATAATTGTAAAAATAAAATTCGAACAAATCGGTTTCCGGATTCAGGGTGTGAATTCGGCCTATACAAAAATAATGATCGGTATTACGCGCGTCCCCCCCCCCACGGTCTGGAGATCTCTGTAACCAAAAACTTTTGAAGAAATCTGATACCACAGTTAGATCGGCGGTGGTTTTTGAATACGTCCGATTCGAATCGTGCCGGCACGATGCCGAACACGATCAACCCAGGTTCAAGGTGATCCTGAAACTTAGAAAAATTTTGCCTGGATACAATACGTGACTTACATTATTAATTACGCAAATTAAACGGAACAAACTGGACTTATATTCGTACAACACCAACCATAAAATAAGTAATCACAAGTATAACCTATCGATTTTCGTTGTCGGCACATTTGTCATAAATGGTAGGTCTTAACCATACGGACATCGGGCTGTTCGATTTTGGCGGGACCACTCTTCTAATGAACTGCTAAAAGCAAAGAGCCTCATTTCTTATTTTAAGGTGTCCACCGGTTTATGATTTAAAGTGTTACCTGACCAGCGAGCAAAATCGCTTATTGACTGAGTCAGTTACGGAGCTACCTCCGACTGCTGTCCAGTGGGCAAAACCACTAACTGGGCAAAGGCCATCAATATGACGTTTAAAATGTTGTGTAAAAATGTAGAACGTTTAAATTGTGGTGCAAGTCCAAGTTAAATACTCACGTTTTAGAACTGTAGTCCAAAGTCGAGCTTGAGCGCGGGCTGATTCGGCCATACTTGTACGCACTGCCGCAACGTCATGCTCCCGGCTGACGGTAGCAAATTGCGGGATTTGTATGTGCTACTAGCTACCGGAATCCCCTAGTATGTTAATATGTGTTTCGTTCGTAAATTAAAGAGAGCCTGGCCCGTAATTGGATTTTTTATGGTCATACTCTCATAGTTCTAATTTAATGCAAGAAAATATTGCTTCTCTAACTGGTACGCAACATGCGCAACCTCATGTCGATATGATATTGTCTAAACTGTATTACCAAGCCAAGTTTGTTTCTTATGAAGTACAAGCCAGTCAACGAGATGCAAACCATGCAACATTGAAATCCGAAAAGCGATGTCTTCAGGTCATGAATTTACGATGTTACCGTAAATTTGCTAAATTAAAATGTCTGAAACTATCTTTGCGTTTTATGGGGTAGTCTACTAAGATTGTGTGGTCGAATGGTAATCGAATGTATCATGAATATTATGAACTTGCCGACGACTAACGAGGCATTCGTTAGCACTTGTACCTGGCAAACATTCATGCCCACGTTGTCCCGTTAATTTGAATAAAACATTTCCTTCCTCACTGTTGATAATAATGTTGATGAATTGTCTGGCAGCACTGAAGTAGTCTAGGTAAACGGAATTTGTCTCGGGACCTTTCTGCGGTTGGTGTGATACGGGCTGCCGCTATAACAGGTCGGCGGTTTTTCTAACGACAGCCAATCGTCAAAGGAGTAAATAACAAGTGCAAAGTAAACGCGCATATCATTGGCAATTTCGATATTGTTGCCTGATTGGTTTAAAATCATTGTGAAACCACGATACAGTACGTACTCGCTACCCGAAAAGTATGTGCATATTTTGTTCAGGCCATAGCCAACATTATAATCACATTCCTACACTAACAGATATTGACACCAAATAAAATATTTCAAATTTACACATTAAAGAAGCAGCATAAGTTTTAAAGGTCATATTGCAAGCTTCCGGTCGCGCATTTAGTGCATATCCATAAACAGTAGCCAAATTGTTTTCCTCTAACAACAGCAGACTGAAAATTCTGCTTTAAGTACACCCTTAAATCAAGATTGGCTGTCACATTATAATATTGTCTCAAGAAAGAGTAATTATAATGTTAAATGCCCTGTTAGAAGACTTAGTACAAAAGCACTCGTATTCTTCGTGTAGTTACGACTCGTTCGTATTCAGTGAATTGATCTGATCATGATCGCTGCACCTTTCACCTCAGCATATCACTTATTTGTTTAGTTAAATGAATAAACCATGGCCGAAGATAATGCCATCTCTGCTACACCTTAATCCGCGGGTTCATCGGGGATCCCAGCCGACAGTTGTAAGCAGCAGCAAAATCAGCGCTATTCATGTACGGTCCCATCACACGGATTCGGAATGATGCGTGCGTTGCGTCGCTAAATTCTGGATTACTGGCGCACCATCCCTGAAAATAATAATTCCTGGTTTAGCCATGCGCCGTTTTAACGGTCCAAATAGTTAACCTGGGCTCCTGTTAACCAGAACAGTTGCTCCTCACTCAGGTCTTCTAAGCCCGGTAGTTTGATGCGGTATCCAGTGCGGCGCATAAAATTATGAAAAGCCTGCAGAAAAAAAGTTTCCTTGAGGACTATACATTTTATGCATTAGAATAAGAAATACGAAACTAACCAAGTAAGCAGCACGGTATCCACCGTTGTCGGCAGTGTTCTCGACCAGAGTGTGTCTGCCATCTACACTGTTGTTCTTCGTGCTAATATTGTTGTAGAAGTCCACCAAAGTGTAGTTTCTCGCGTTATAATTGTTTTGCGTCGTTTCGGTCCACCACTTGAGACGTTTCCCGTCTTTCTCAAATTCTTCCACTGTACACGAAATTTATAATTATGTGTTGGAACAAACGCCCTTTTAAAGGAAGTGACCGGTGTATCACACAATCTCCAAATTTGGTGTAAATGATTTGGATTGTCTACGAGCACTCGTTGACACTTTTTTCATTTTTGTTCCGTGACGTTGTATACCCAGAAGATTAGATATGGCGCGTTTCGTTTACATTTTAACCTACATTGCTTTACCTACATTATTGGTGGTCAAAATCTCTGTGTATTCTTTACGCGGCAGTTTGCGCGGCAGTTGGGTAAAAAGCGTGAGTCAACGGCGCGTAAACAAGCAAACGTGCTCATTCGTAAACAAGAATTTTGGGATGGGTTATCAGCTTACTCTTCCATGTAAGCGTTTCGCTTCGATATCGAAGCGCAACCATTACTTACCCAGACTTACACACATATGTCAGCCAGCAGAACTCTTTGCTTTAAACGTCTTGCCAACAACTGTGTACACCGGATTTGTATAATATTATATATTATGGACTGATATGTCGCTTGTTTAATTAATTACGGAATTACCAGTATATTATAATAGAGCACATATAACACGTCGGGTGTACCGTAAAGCTGTCCCGGCGCTAATTCCAAATTTCCTTGACACCATACCCACACCGTGCCATACCTTTGGAGGCAGCATTAGTGCTGAAACGGTGCAAAGCGACAACGAGTTGCTCTTGCTTGTGGATTGTCAGATACGGTATTAAATATGGAGTGATTTTCGATTAAAGATGCAATTTTAAAAAAAGCATCTCTGGACATTCGCAGTTCCTGGCGCAAACTGTCATCGTCTAAAGCCGGTAAAACATGTTCCAAAAAAACCTGCTTTTAGGAATTTTTTGCCGGCTTAAATACCGACGGCTTTGAAGACACACTTTAAATTTCAACATGAGCTCAACATCCTCGTCTTCTGATTCAAGCGGAATATCAGAATCACTATCGCTGATGCTGTAGGAATCGCTTTCTAATAAGGCTTACTCCGATTCATCACTGATTAACTCTTCGATCTTTAAACTGATAATCCTTTTGTCGCATAAATTAAGAAATTTTTGCCGTTTAGATGGTGGGGCCATTGCAGAAATCACAACAGTTACAAGTTTATACACGTGTAATTAATTTTTGAACTCCTCGCAGATAAAGAACACCTGCATTATGGCTGGCGCAGCGATGTCTTGCTTATGCCGTCGCATGATGCAGGCTAGCTCGTGTGGCGCCGCATTTGGAATTAAACGTAACTGTGTTGTTTCCTTTTCGGTGGTCAGTTTCCTTCCTGGCACGCAAACATACTCGTCTTATCATTTGTTGACAGTTTTTTGGCTGATTCATCGGGTTGGTTTTACTTGTTCTGGCCTTTACCCGACACGCATCGATTACACAGAAGATTTTGACCACCCATATTAACTTATAACTAACAATAGCTTACGCAAGCTTATGCGAACTTATGCATACTCACGTTATTAACATTCACTTGACAGTTTGTCACGTACTCTACTAATTCACACTAGTAAAACCTGCTCTAACAACCTTTTACGTTTAGTAACAGCGTTTCACGCGCACTTGCAATGCTTACACTATATGTTCCCAAGTTTTTCCATAAACGATACGTGCCATAAGTGTAGATGATTTGTATGCATTGGCGTGAAAGAAATTTGTGCAGACAACATTCAGCCGGAAAATTACAGCTGTAAAAAATCTTCACTAGTCCAAACGCAACCATTTGTATAAAAAGTCTAGTTAGCAATCGATCTTCGAATTCTGCGTAAAAACGCACATTAGCTTGAGGCTGACTTTTACGCTGAACCAGGTCTCCACCATTTTTCAGATTATGTTTTAATGTCCGCACACAATATGGGCTAAATCCCAGTCTGCGGCAACAGACATGCCATAAAGCCCGTCATCAAATCGAAAACAAGAAACCCAAATCCCAAATAACTTCGAAAATGGTTGCAGTTTATTCTGGCATTTTAAAACAAGGTGAAAAACTGGTTCAGTGCAAACGGAATTGGTGTTAATGTGCGTAATCGTGCACATTTTGACAAAGATCGGTCTACAATGAGACTATAGGAACACCTGAGATTTAAACTTATTGAAATTTTTCGATAACCATAAATCTCCAACTGGTTAGTGCGCGCAAACGCTTCTCGCGCCCATCCTGCTACAGAATGCCATGAAAAAATGCAAAAAAAGTTTTCGGTGTGCGAAAATTAAAATTTTCGTGCTTGAACAATTTCCAGGTAACTTCCCTTAAGAAATCTGTACTCGCCTTCAATATCGAAAACATGAGTGAACTCGTGGCCGATGGTAGCACCCAAGCGAGCGTAGTTAAGAATGTCCAAGCCGCTTGAGTAAAACAAAGGTGGTTGTAAAAGGGGCGCCGGAATAACTGCAAAGCGGACCATCTAAGTTGATTGTCTTGCTTGATATTTTGTTTGGTCAATTAACTTTCGACAAAGGAAGAAGAAATGAAGAAGAAATCAGAAATGAGAACTAAAAACCGCAACAGATGAAAAATTATGAACATGTAAAGGCTATGGGAAAATATCGTAACCTATAATTAGAACAAGTACTTCTACTGATTGAAAAAGCGAAATAAAAATGTGAACCAATGTGTTACTGTTGACTTCAAAATCTGTGAAAATCAAAAACCTTACACTTATCAACCGAAGTATCCGTATACATTGCAGTTATGGCAAAAACAGATTCAAAAATAAGCAGCAAGCAATATACCAATATAATTTCTGTCCGAATACATCTTGGCATCACGCAATATGAGATCAACCGGAAAAAACGGATCATTGCGGGCGTTGCGCCGGCAGAGTTGTTGCACGTTGATCCAACTATTGCTTTTATCGATACTGCGCAATGTGTCGAAGAAAGAAATTTCCACATGGATCTGGGAACACCATAGCATTCGGCCGAGCGCTTTTCATGCTAATTGTAGCTACATTATGCCGTTCAATATTATCTCGAAGCACTTCGCAATGGAAACGCTTTCGTTATATGAATGACCATATCCCCGCTTTCGATGTTCGAAGATCTCACTGAAGGATTCTGGTTTTTCTTTCAGTTTACCCATCTTGAAAGGGTTTCGAAGATTGAGATGTGTCAAGAGACTTAAGGGGATCACTAGCAGCAGAAAGCGGTTTAGGGAAAACGGGACTGGCTTGAAAACGATGGAAAGACATATGTTTGCACGACTTTGACTGAACGCAGAGAGGATTTACTTACACAAGTCCCGCGCTGAAAGTCTGAATCTGATGCTGATTCTGAATGCTAAAAGTCTGAGTCTGAATATTGAAACTCTGATTCTGATTACTGAAATTCTGAATCTGAATAAGAAAACTTAGAATCTGGCCGGTGATGACCAAAGTCTCTATAATAAAACCATAATAATTAATTAATTATGGTTATCTCGAATGCTTCAGTTAAAAATTAACTGAAGCATGCGAGCGAGTCTACAGCGTACATGGATTTTATTATTATAAAACTGTAATTCAGACAATCCAGTAGCGATAATCATAAGAGACAATAAAAGCGGCGGTAACAAATCTGTAGAAGTACAGACGAGTATTTGTGCTGCAGATCTCAATGTACAGTACTGTAACGCTTGCCGCTAGAGATATCCTATGGTACCACAGAGTATATTTATTGCAGAATGCAGATGTTGTTCTTGATTTGTTTCTTCCAACGGTTGGAAGAAACGTCTATGTCTGGGCAAGGTTAGTCTATGCCAGACCTGGCTATGTTTCTCTTTATTGTCACAATCGTTGCTGAAATGTTTCGAGCGAGACTTTTGATGTGTCAGTTCTAAATATTTTGCTTAATATTACTGTGATTGCAGAACGTCTTAAAAAACTTAGAGGGTGAAGTAAGGTATTTTTCTCACAGAATGCACCACATTCCTCTATGTTTCAGCTTTTCTGCTTCCATAAATTCAAGACTCTGCATGAATAAAAAGCGAAATTGATGGCTTTCCCTGATAATCGGGGATACCTATAAACTTTTGGTTGCAACGACAAATTTTTTCATGCATTCTGCCGTCCTGTTGCTGAGAAGCTTCCCCTGTCTGTGACATACATAGTCGCAGCACAAATACTCGCATTGTACTCTGTACTTCCATAGATTTGTTACCGCCGTTTTTATTGTTTCTTATGTTTATCGCTACTGGATAGTCTGAATTGTAGTTTTATAATAGCAGAATCCATGTACGCTGTAGACTCACCCGCACGCTTCGGTTTACTATGGCTTTACCAGAGACTTCGGTCATCACCGGCCGGATTCTGCGTTTTCTTATTCAGATTCAGAATTTCAGTATTCAAAATTCCAGTAATCAGAATCAGAGTTTCAGTATTCAGACTCAGACTTTTAGCATTCAGAACCAGAATCAGACTCAGACTTTCAGCGCAGGCCCTTACACAACGGTGTGACGCGCTCCTCTCTGACCTGTGTCTAGAACGAGCTATTCTTCAAACAAAGAAAACACTTCGAAACCAAAAGTTGAATGAGAAAGTTTCTTTGTTTATGAAGCAACATACATTGTTCTGCGTGATTCTCTCTAAAAAGCTTATATACCGAAACACGGCGTGAGAAAAGTCTCAAATTTTCAAATTAAACAATAAAAACACTTTTTGAAAGTGTTTTTTGCAGTTATTTGGAGTGCAATCTGTTGTGCAACAGAGGAGTTTCGGTATAAAGCTTTCTAGGGGAAAACACGCAGAACAATGTATTGCCTCATAAACAAAGAAACTTTCTCATTAAACTTTTGGTATCAAAGTTTTTTCTTTGTTTGATGAATAGCTCGGTCTAGACACAGGTCAGAGAGGATCACGTCACACCATTGTGTAGCTAAATCCTCTCTGAGTTAAGTCAAAGCTGGGAAAACACGTATCTGGCCATCGTTTTCAAGCAGTTCCCGTTTTCCCAAACCCGCTTTCTGCTGCTGGTGGTTCCCTTAAGGGAAATGGCCTGGTACATGGTGTTAAAAGAGGGATGCATGCACCAAAACTTTCGCTTCCGCGCATTCGGAATCATTTTCTGTAAAACTTTATGTCATACTAAAGCTAAATGATTTGTTGTATACATTGTTCTGAAAACCGACTGCCCCGCGCAACATCCGGTTGCCGAGTTATGGCGTACTAAAATGGGTGAAAAGTTTAAATGTGATGTGGTCTACCAAAAGTTTTGTCAATACCCGATCTTCTTGAAACTTCGCTACAAAAGACGTATCGCCAACAAGTCGAAGGTTATCCAATATCCGAGCCACATCATTTTTTTCCGATTTTAAAATGAATTTTTAAAGTTACGGGAAAATGCTATGGCTCAAGTATCAGATCACTTTCGACTTTTTGGCCAAATGCCTTTTATGGTAAAGTTTCAAGAAGATCGGGTAATAACCAGACTTTTGGCACACAACTAAGCATTTAAAGCTTTCATCATTTTAGTACGCCATAACTCGGCAACCGGATGCTGCGCACTGCGCAGGCATACGGTCTTCAGAACAATGTAAAAAATCCTTTAGCTTTAGAATGATATAATTATTACAAAAACGTGATTCAGAGTGCGCGAAAGCGAAAGTTTTAGTGTATGTATCCCATTTTTGGAGCTATTTACAGGGTTATTTTCCTTAAGAAACTAACCTTGTCATAGAGGTCATCTATGATGGTCCAGTTGTCCAGGAACACTTTGGGGTAACAGATATTCAGCAGTGTATGGTTCAGCTTGTCCATTGCGGCTTCCTTCGTTTCTATATCCATCCAAGGCGTTTCGAGAAGGACTGCATCGCGAACCGCGTTTTCAATTTCGGCCGTCAGGACCTTCGCCTGTTGGACATCAATAACCGTTGATTATTTAACCTTCTGATTACCTGATTTTCGACTGGACGCCGCATCTTGAAAGAATTAGATCTTGAAGTATTTTTCTTCGTAATAAAATATCTGTGCACCTTTTGGACGGCATTACTCGCTGTGTAGGTCTTGAAGTACATTCCCGAGACGGTCAGTGGCATGGCCGCTTTTACGAGCCCCACGCAGGTGCCTTTCCCTCGATATACAGTGTGGTAGTGATAGATGGCGGTCCACCACAACCAATCAGCCAGTGTCACCAGTCCTGCATCCCCGTCAAATTCTAACTGCGCCATCTTCCGATCCAGATTGTGGAGATACTCAAGCTGAACCGGGACGGCAAACTGCGTAGCGGTCGTAGCTCGAAATTTTACCGAAAGAGCTTTAAGCATAGCGTTAAACAGGGGCAAGAACCTTGCAAAAAATTGCGAACGGAATGGCGGTTTAGAAAGATCGCCGAAGGTTAAGCGCCTTCGAAAGTACACAGGTGTTGCTGGCCCCTAAAAAAATTAATCTTTTTAAATATTAAGAAAGTAAAAACAAGCACTGAGAAAAAATCACAAAATGGAAGACGAGAGATTTTTGTAACACAGCTCGCACCGTCGCCAGCATAACATCAAACATAAGGGCTTTCTCCAATCGTTTTTCAACTTCAGACCATTGCACACTTGCATTGGCTGCTTTTAATAAACGCAGCACAATCGGTGCCCATTTTTTCATCAACTGCGCCGTTCCATCGCGAACAGTGGGCGTCAAATGGGCAGTGGTCAGTGCATCCCATCCCCACCGCACCCAAAGACGGCCTGGAATTGTAAAGAACAGGATATTCTCATTGCTAGAAAACTCGTTTCTTGATACGGTAAGATCGCTGAAGGTCCGAATGTTGTTCTGCTGCAGGCGGACAAAAGCGTCTTCCAGACGAAAAGCGGACACATTGCTATGGTCTTTCAAAAGCGACCATCCACCTAACAGGTCCTCGACAGCGCGTGCAAGAGTGCGGTCTTCGAATGGCCGTTCTGTCGACAAGCAAAAATTTAATATTGTTCAACATTCCACTTTTTCAGCATTACAGGTGCTTTCGCTCAAGCCAAATGCTAATGCTCGTTATATAACAAGCATTTGCATTTGTTTCGAGTGCATTTTTTCTTACCGATGCGCATATACGTAAGTAGTAAAATGCAAAACAAACATGAAAGTATATGTTGCAGCGGTGATTAAGCACCAGATTACCGTAGCGAAACCCTGCAGTTATAAGATTGTTTTGAAGTTCAGACAATTGACACAAATCGTTCGTTGTACAAGGACGTTCGCAATTTAAATATACTGGTGTGAGGCGATGGCTGCCCTGCGTCCACCTTCGTGACGCTACGGGAGTGCTTCGTTGCACTACTCCGTGGGGAATTGCCGTCTGTGGCGTGTCTCTCTTGTGACTGGTTGACGGCTACAGCCGTTCATTATGTTCACTGTGTGTAGCTATTTTAGCATTGCCGAGAGCAGATGGAATTTGGCTCTCTAAGCGGTGTGAACGTCAGTGTGTTTTGGTTCTCAATCGAAGACGCTAATAAAGTGTTCCATGCTATCTGGATGCCGTGCGTTGTGCATTTATCCATATTCCCGTAGCATCTCACACTACACAGAGTCCTGTCAGTCTGGGCTTCTGTCCTGGACTCATATCCAGTCCACGGTAATACTGGCTTACAGATAACTGGCATACCCACCCATGTGTTTCGTTCTGCGACTGAACCATTTACTCGTTAACGCGTCCGATCACTTCGGCAGCGTTACATTTCGGCCGCATGCGATCACTTCGGCCAGCGTTCATTTCGGCAACAGGACATTTGGCCATCTTAAATTCCCCAAGTTTTCCTATTTTTCATTATATTGCTTCGGTTTTCTCAAATTTCTTAGGTTTCCTTAGGTTTCTTAGGTTATTCTTAGGTTTCTGAGGTTTTCTTAAATTTTCTTAGTTTTCTTAGGCCGAGGGGAACCTGTGAGGCCGAAATGTAACGCGGCCGAAGTGATCGGACGCGAGTTTTGTTAGGTTTTCTTGGGGTATTCTTGGGTTATGCTTTGGCTTTCTTAAAATTTCTTAGGTTATTTTTAGATTAAACTCAAGTTACCTATTCTTAGTTTATCTGGTACCATCCAAACGTTGTTGCGTCGAAAGTAACGTTTTCTTGCCGATATTAGACCAAAATAAGCGTCGGCCGAAATGAACTGCGGCCGAAGTGAACGGCGGTGGAAGTAATGGCGGCCGAAAAAGTTTGGCCGAAATGAACACGGCCGAAATAAAAACGGCCGAAGTGATCGGTAGCCACTTGTTAAATACAGTCCGTTTCCTGTTTTTAGTTCAGAGGCAAATATAAGGAGTGTGGCGCATACACATCCTTACAGAGAATGACAATGCTTTGGCTCTGTGCGAAATTCCTTACAGTACGTTTGAAAAAAAAATTAAGAAACGGACTGTATATTGTATAATGTCGGCAGGCGCAGCAAACGCCTTGCGAAGATGCTTTAACGTTCAAGGGTACTTTACAGCAATTTTAAATCGGTTGTCCGATTTATACCATGCGTCTGGTTGAAGCACTGTTTGTATAAGTCGACTGCTTTTTTTTCCGTGGGGTTGCTGTAATTTCCACTGTCAAAGAGTTCTAAATAAAGCAAAAATTTCAATAAGATACAGACATGATAGTGATATACAGTATACGTAAAATTTAGCATTCCTTGATGCATTTTAATTTGGTATTTAACTGAAAGCTCTATAATGTGTCTGAAAAAATAGGCACCATGCAAAAAATTTTTAGACCGGAGCACAGCGAACATTCTATTATTCAACAAAAATTGGAATTTGTCTGTTTATAAACCTGTCTGTCCGTCTCGGAAGTGGACGATAACGTCTCTATTACGCAATATTTTTCTTATCCCGCACTTATTTAATACGTCATTAGTTTTTTATCTCATAAGTCATTGTTTCGTCAGGATCTCTTTATCATTTATCGCTCTTATTACGCTCTCATGCACGCTACCGAGGCCGAGTAGATCAACACACCAATTTGCAAATTCCGCGAACAGTGGGACAATTGCGCTCGAAGGGAAAGTGAGCTAAACACGGAGACAAACCGAAAAAGTTAACGCAAACAGGAAAAACATCAGCCGTCTACGAGCGCTTAAAAGAAACCAGGAGACAAACAGTGGCAGCTAAGTCGAAAGGTCGAAAGGGGTAGTCTACAGCGCGTGGTGTCTCGTGCAGCAAAATCCGCAGAAATGCGGGTACTAGCTGAACGAGCGCAGAATGCGCGCATCTGATCAGCGTATCGAAAACTATCGAAGCTTAGGGTACGACGAATGGGCCGCGGAAGCCGGAGCGCTCCGACAAGCGCACAGGTACTGCAAAACTTATTCAACAGTATAGTGTATCTGAGCAATGCAGTTTTGTCCTTTGAGTCGGTTCTTAGGCTTTGCTATTAGTTCCGCTAGAATTTAGCGTCTCAGAAAACTTGCTCTAACGATCTACAGTCTACGGCTCTTGCTCAGCCCAAATGTAACTAAATTTAAGAACATGTAAATTGTGAAGGCAGCGGCTCCTGCCAGGTGCGATAAAAAAACTTCGTGTACGGATAGTGTCATTATGCCTCATCATTACGCAACTTTGCCTTCGCTCAAGTGTCTGTTGTCCTACCGTAACAGACAAAAAAATTACGCTTCAACGAATCAAGGAAGAGCATTCAACCGCATAAAAAAAGTTACTGAACTTCTGAACATGTTGTGCGTCTGGCTAAGCGTCAACATTGTGTGCGCTGGTGAAAATGCAACGACACCTCAAGTATGCGGTAAAAATATATAATGAGCTACCTGCAGCTGTTCACGCTGTGCTCCGGTCTAACAATGCACGCTAAAGTGCATTTTCGTAGTTATGTTTAGGATTATTGAATACTAGTAAGAACACACATTCCCGTAGCACCTTGAAGTTGTTTGGAAATCGTGGGAACTGGCACGTCACGGCCCAGAGCACTGCTGCTATTCCAACGGTTGCATGCGTGAGCGTAGAAATCCACACACGGATCAACGCTTTCGTCCCTGCTAGAGACGATTACCCAGGCTAAAAAAACACAAGCCAAGCAAATTGATGAACCCAAAAAAAACAACGAAAACCAAAAACTAAGAACACCAAAAAAAGTGGGTCGGGAAAATTTACGGCGGACGTTTTGGACGGTTTAGGAGCGAAAGCGTCCACCGGATGTCTCAGACGTCCGGACTTTTTGGACGGTTACAAACGTCTACATAACATCACCGTAGTGACTGACCTTGACATAATTTTGATACAAAACAAATATTTTAATCGGAATTCGACGTAAAATAAAGCAAAGCAGAAAGCTGTTCCGGAGCAATTTATGTTGGATGAAGCTGCTTTCTGCTCTCATTGAATTTGACGGATGTGCTACATACCGACTTGTTGGCAAAGATCCGACGTGCAAACCGGGGTCGGTAACCGCGACTTCCCGGTAGCTTGTACAACTTTAGCAGCAGTGACTAGAAATCCTACCACATCCATAAGTATCATCGCGCGCCCGCTTTAAAATGAACTTAAGTTCCGTTAAGATCTCTGAAATATATTCACTGATTATCCTTCATAGAAACGAACGTTTGTATTAAATAAAGGAAGCAGTCTTATAAACATCCGTCACACTCTCAAAACACTGATTCTGGTTCTCCACACTGATTCTTCGAAGAATAAAGCATTAGCAATCCAGCAAGTGCTGAAACGTTGAAAGCACTTGTTTGCCCTAGGGGATTATTCAGTTGGCAAAAATCTTTGATCTGTAATTAAACGCTGCGTCTTTAACAAATATTGCCAGCGGCAAATCCGGCAAACAGGTATTTATACAATCGTCTACAGATGTAGCATGCCTGAGACTGCATGTGATTACGTAGTGCTATGCGGATTCAGGAGGCGGTCGTAATTAGTGTCGTGGTGGAAGGAATTGGTTCGGGATCAACCCCGGATAATTACAAGTTCAATACGAATTATGAGTATCAATGTCGCTAGCCTCTTTAAAAGTAGTGAAATCTATAGCAATCCGGGGTCTCCTGATGTCTTTGCAAGTTAGGTCATTAACTGCTGTAATAGAGTTACACATGTTTGCCTTATTCTATTAATTCGATAATCAGTTGATGAACATCACATCAAGTCTGTGTGCTTTATTCGTACCCAGTCCGAACATATTTTATATTTATTTCAGTGATTCTTGCATTGCGGACATTAGGAACCGTAAAGAGGAGAAACAAAGTAACGGCTCCGAATTTGTAATTTAGTCGGCTAGGTGGCCTGCAACCGCAAGGGCCAAACAAACACTCGACACACAGTTTGACATTTGAAGAAAACCGATCACGTCACATACAATGGATATTTCCAAAGTAATCCCTATTTTGTTTCTCCGGCCAGAAACTCATTCAGTTACTAATGTCCTAATATCATTGCATACCGGCATACGTCATGCATTCAAGAGTCGAAGCAGGAAATACCTTATGTTGATATCAATTACAAATGGAAAAACTGCGGGAAATAACCACAGACGTTGTCGGGCAATTTTGCTCGCGGTTTACCGAAGTTGTTTTTATTATTTTGTCGGCTGCCATTTTTATCATTTTGTTGGCCGTCGTTGTTCGTGAAACACAAAATGTTTCTCGAGTTTCTCCGTCAACTACTGTCGCCGGAAATTCAGCGAGGCAACGCTGCTTCCGTGCTCGGGATAATGCAAGGAGCTGCCTAATGTAAGGAGCGGCAGCTCTTTGCACTGTTCGATTTGCATGGGAAACTGACATAACAAGCTGGATCTGATGACGTTTACAGTCCTTTCTACTGTTTTTCGACCGGAGCGAAGCGAAGGTCCTCTATGTTCAAGAAATCGGGACTTTTTGTCACGTGGGTCACGTCGGTCACGCACATACAAATTATTGCGGCGGTGGCTGGGAACACCCATGTAGACATGAATCTTGATTAAATAAAAATACAAAATAAAAACAAAATAAATAAAACTATAAATATCATAGACAATATACATTTCACAGTAAATATACATAAATTTAAATATCACAGAAGAATTATATCACAATAATTTTAACAAACATAAAAATCGGAGGACGTAGTCCACAAACCTGGCAGTGGCAGGGCACAGCACGTAATCTTCTGTTCATGGCCATGATTTGTGCCATAAATCCATAAATTATGGTCATGAATGTATGATTACGGCTGAGGGAGATTCCGTCTTGTAGGTGGCATCGCGCAGAGATTGTCGTCGGGCAGGCACAGCACGCGATTAAAATTCGCTGTTGACAACTAGAATTCATAATTTCTGGTTGTCAACAGGAAATTTCAATCGTGCGGGCCTAGATGGATTTCGAGACGAAGCTTGGGAAAAGGCACAACACGCCAGTACAGTCCATAGTCAGAAGTTCTGTTGGTTCTTTCATAATTTCTGAATTGTACTGGCGTGTTGCTGCCGTGCATCAGGGTTCCTCGCGATCTTCTGTCCATTCGTGTTCAGCACATGGCAAATCTCCGCATACGGGCATAAAATACGGATTCTAATATCAGGTAGGAATATAAATTCCTAGTTTTGCTAGTAATTTATATTCGTGTCTAATATTAGAATTAAAAGGGTAAAAAAAAATAAAAACAGTACTCCCGCACAGTCAGCAACACTGTACCAGTAGCGCGTACGGTAAGACAGTGCTGAGTATGCGAGAAGAGAAGGCTAGTACGCAGCGGATATGAGAAGAGATACCGAGTACATAGGCGTGCATGTATACGACTACACCCACTAGTGGATGTCTGACCAATAAGAGTCTGTACACTCGAAATCATGCGAAAACATCGGAAATGGCTGTCTTTTTTATTTCGCTACTTTTAGTTTGCAAAAACGGCGTATCCATACATTGATTTTGTTGGTACCTTGTGCGAAGGTACTGAATGGTGTCGGTTAGGGAAGCCTGTTGCAGCGTTTTTGCAACCAAAAAACCCATAGTCTATTTACAGCTAATCATATCACATTCACCTTCCAACCGGCATGTTGGGAAGTACTGGATCAAGTTAGAACGACTGGAGCTAGCCCAGCTAATTCGCCTGGAAGATGATAAAACAATGCGAAAAAGAGGCGATGCCCGTCTGATAGGCCCCCAGCAAATACCTTTACTGGGGAAATCGGCAACTGTACCAATGATTTATCTACCGCGGTGTTGCAAGGATCTCCATGACCCTGTCATCGAAATTCGTCTAGGACACAAGAAAATTAGAGAGCCCTTGATTTCTCTTGATCTTTTAATGCGTGATATTGAAAAAACGGATTTTGGATGTGAACTACCGTTTGGTAACGACCAGCCTTCAGTGGTCTGGGATGCTGTTACTGTTCCTATGTTGTACTCTGTGTGTTCGATTTAAAGACAAAAAACAGCCTGTGTGCATGAATATTTTATTAAATACCATGGGACATTGAATCGTGATTCGTTCTAAGATTTTTCACCAGACAACAGCAAACATAATATAGAATGAGCAAGAACAAGAACGCATAATTCAAGATAAAGTAGCGTAATTCAAGATAAAGTAGCGCGAACAAGTTTTTCATGAGACTGATACGGACAAGCATTATTGAGCGCAACAAATTTTTCAATTCTGTCTTGCAACTCTTTAGCCTGCTCAGAACCCAAAACCTCAGGTTCCTCAATATCGTAACACGGCATCTTCATGATGACCGGAATCCTCCCATTGGTGGGTAACTTTTATCTCATAAAATCAAACCAAAAAAAGTATAAAATTTTTAAAATAAACAAAAAAATTTTCCAATAGCCTGGTTTGCCCAACGGTTTTCACCTGAGGGTAATAAGTCTCCGTAATGGAGTTTGGCTACTGTAGTACGATAATAATAATCATACATTTAATGTTAATTGCCTAGCCTGGTGGTAGTACGTCTGGCTTTAAGATTGTATGTCCTGGGTTCGATTCCTAGGTGGGTAACTTTTATCTCATAAAATCAAACCAAAAAAAGTACAAAATTTTCAAAATAAACAAAAAAATTTTCCAATAGCCTGGTTTGCCCAACGGTTTTCACCTGAGGGTAATAAGTCTCCGTAATGGAGTTTGGCTACTGTAGTACGATAATAATAATAATAATAATAATAATTTCTCCGCCCATCGAGATAGCCAAAATAATCGTTCGTTCGAAAGGATTTCCCGTGTGATTCCCGGCAACTGGTGACAGTGAACGCACAGCGCAATTGATCGCCAAAGGCAGTTTCCAACGCTGTAATTCCATTGCCCAGAACTTTGACTACGTCCTGCGGTTCCGTATTGTCTGCCGAGAACTTCTGCACTTTCCTTAAGCGGTTACTGTAAAACTTGAACTGATTATTGACTTCCATACCGTCAATGAAATTGATGAGCGTAGTAATGAAGCCAGCGGCGTCTGGGTGCTGCAAATGCACGGCTTCAAAAATTGCGCAAGCATGCAGCTTGGCTCCGCGAACGGCAAGCAAATTGCCGTGCGTCAAACGAGAACTCTGATCCACGTCTTTCAGAGCAGAATCCAGATCATAATAGTTATGCAGAACCAACGGTGCCACTCGAACAGCGGCACCGTTTCCGTACGAGCCAGTTCCACGGAATTGTTGGGCGGCCGGAAAATACTGTCTTTGGCTGTATTCCGTTGAGATTCCACGCGAAGAACACATCTTTAACGGTAGTAAAAAACTTTCGTCTTTCCGGAAATTCGAAATAACAAGTGGCTGGATTCTGAGCAACGTGTGTGTCGATAAACTTCTGACAGTCAATGAGTGAGTGTGCTACCGCACCACTCAAATACCATACGGCACTTGGCATCCAGCAACTTTTGGAGGACAATGTTTCCACAACGGTCGGAAAGCCGATTGGCTGGATATCGCGCTTTCCTTGCTTGAACATTCCACCGGCACAATCACCGATGTATGCCCCTATCAGGCAACCTTTGAAGCGAGCAGTGTCATGAATTTTGCTAGCATCCATTTCTGAAATCTGAACGTTTGACTCGATTTCTAAAATTTGGAAATGGCGTACTATCGTGCTGTTATTCCGCCGGTCATGCTGCGCACACCACAGACCAAGGATGTAAATGTGCTGGGCTAATAAACAGGTATCGGAGGAAGGGCTTCTGTGAGATTATGAATGCTTTGGATGGCCAAATTCAAGTCCTATCGGACCGTTTCCCATATCTGGCCGTTGGCATGTACTCGCACTTTTGCGATATATCTCTTTCTGTAATTTTAAGAATAATTTTGAGAGGGATATTGTGTTTGACAAGTATCGATCTGCGAAGGTCACACAGTTCAACCGTTGGAAGTGGCTCCCTAATGTCTGCCGCTTGTGCTTTGGCGTTGTTGAGCCAACGCTTACAGAATCGCATGCCAGCTGGGATTTCAACGTTCCCGAGAAGACGAAGCTGATCGGCTGCTTGTTTCTGGAAATGCCCGGTCGATCAGGAATTAGAATCTGGTTGGACGCCATCAGCGGCGAGAAGGCATAGCAACCGTTAATCAATTTTCAATTTCACTTGGTCAGATGCGTGACTATGGAACTTCTGACCCGAGGAACGTCTCACGGACCAGATTATTACTTACCGGAATCACCGTCATCGTCGGATTTTCTGCTTGATGTAGACGAAATTAACGGAGAAGTTGTTG